GCCAAGCTGAATCATTGTTGAGAAATGGAGCAGAGTGCTGTCTTCTGCTTGCTGCGTTGAGTGTTGAGGCCGAGAGGGTCATTGCTGAAATTGATGTGGTGCGGGATTTTGCTGAGGTGTTCCCGGATGAGGTGCTTGGGTTGCCTCCTGTTAGGGAGATGGAGTTTAGCATTGACTTGGTTCCAGGTGCAGGGCCAGTTTCGGTGGCTCCCTATAGGATGGCTCCTGCTGAGTTGGTTGAGCTGAAGGGTCAATTGGAGGACCTACTGGAGAAGCAGTTTGTGTGGCCGAGTGTATCGTCGTGGGGTGCTCTTGTGCTGTTGTTGAAAAAGAAGGATGGAGGTAGTTGACTGTGTGTTGATTACCGGCAGTTGAACAAGTTGACCATTAAGAACAAATATCCACTTCCTCGGATAGATGACTTGATGGATCAACTGAGGGGAGCATCCGTTTTCTCGAAGATGGACTTGAGGTCAGGTTATCACCAGATTAGGGTGAAGGAGGGTGACATACCGAAGACTGCTTTCAGGACTAGGTATGGTCACTATGAATATGTTGTGATGCCGTTCGGCGTGACCAACGCCCCTACAGTGTTCATGGATTACATGAAAAGGATCTTCCGGCCGTTCTTGGATAAATTCGTCGTGGTGTTCATTGATGACATCTTGATTTACTCAAGGATCCCGGAAGAGCATGGAGAGCACTTGAGGTTAGTGCTGGAAATTTTGAAGGCGAAGCAGCTGTACGCTAAGCTTTCAAAATGTGAGTTCTGGTTGGATGAGGTGAAGTTCTTGGGACATGTGATCTCAGCTGAGGGGATTGTTGTTGATCCGGCTAAGGTGGAGTCGGTGTTGCAGTAGGAGCGTCCAAGAACTGTCACGGATATTAGGAGTTTTGTGGGTTTGGCGGGTTACTATAGGAGGTTCATTGAGGGATTCTCCAAGATAGTGGCGCCTTTAACCCAGCTGACGAGGAAGGAGCAGCCGTTCATTTGGACCGATGCCTATGAGCGGAGCTTTGATGAGCTGAAGAGGAGGTTGACTACTTCTCCTGTGCTGGTGTTGCCGGATTTTGGTGAGCCCTTTAATGTGTATTGTGATGTTTCTCACCAGGGTCTGGAGTGCGTGCTGATGCAAAATAAGAAACTGGTGGCATATGCTTCAAGGCAACTGAAGAATCATAAGAGGAATTATCTCACTCATGACTTGGAGTTGGTAGCTGTAGTGTTTGCCTTGAAGATATGGAGGCATTATTTGTATGGTGCTCGGTTCAGTGTCTTCAGTGATCACAAGAGTCTGAAGTACTTGTTTGATTAGAAGGAGCTGAACATGAGGCAGAGGCGGTGGATGGAGTTTCTGAAGGATTATGATTT